TCAAGGTACACCTGGTGGTGGGAGAGGGACTCCCCAGGGTACTTGTTGTCCCCTTAGGAGCTGCGCAGGGGGTAGAGGGGCAGAAGTTTAGGTGGGTCAGTGCGGTGGTTCAGAACCTGGGCTCTGGATCCAGACTACCTGGGTTTGAATCCCAGCATCACCATGTATTTGTGATATGACCTCGGACCAATTACTTAACCTTCCAGAACTTTAGGTTTCCCATCTTAAAATGGGGATGCATAAGGTAAAAACACATAGTTCTCAGAAGAGAAACCTAAAAGGCTAGTGAGCATAGGAAAAGTCATCGGTAATCACAGAAATGCAAATTACTCATGAGATACAACCTTACAGCTGTAGGCTGATAACATTTAGGGAGCTGGCTACTGCCAAGGCATTTCCAGAGACACAGGAGGCTATAGGATTCTCGGGATCCTTATGCAGGTGTAGCCAGTTTGGAGTGCACCCTGGCAGGGCAAGTATGACATACTCTTTGACCCTAAATTCCATTCCTGGTATACCACAAAGAAATTCTCATCCTGGCCCATGAGGGAACATCTTTGTTCACTATAATCTTGTTCATAGTGGCAGGGTGGTACCAGGGTGCCCTTTCCTGGGAGAGAGGGTAGGTAAATGTGAGGGAAGCACCCCGTGGAGTGTTCTGTGGCATGTGGAAGCAATGGGTTAGATATAACCACAGGAACATGGATGGATGTTGTGATACCACGTGGAGGAAAAGAAGAAAACAATCAGATATATAACTGCCTTTTGTGTGAGTTGCAAACTATAGGCACACAAAGCAAGACACATTTTGCAAGAACATATTCACACAAAAAGGTCCTCACTAAATACAATAAATGATAAATACAATACATTAAATTAAGATGGGAGTGGGATATGGGGTTAAAGGAAAGAAATAGGTAGCTAAGTCGAATAAGGAAAATGATCGTACCTACCCTGTAGATTTGCCTGTAGAGTTAAATGAGATCCCACAAGTAACAACCTGGGACTGTGCCTTGTACCTACTTAGCCTTCGCTACAAAGTAAGGCGTGCTTGGCCAAGGCCAGGGGTGTATATGTACAGTCCCTTTGCTGATCCTCTCTCTCCCCCTCTGTGCCAGGTCTTATTTGCCACCGAGACCTTCGCCATGGGTGTAAACATGCCCGCCCGTACAGTGGTGTTTGACTCCATGCGTAAGCACGATGGCTCTACCTTCCGGGACCTGCTCCCCGGGGAGTATGTGCAGATGGCAGGCCGGGCGGGGAGGAGGGGCCTGGACCCCACAGGCACCGTCATCCTGCTCTGCAAGGGCCGAGTGCCTGAGATGGCAGACCTGCACCGCATGATGATGGTGAGTGGACATCGTGAGGCTGGCCCAGGCAGGGCTCCAGCTCCAGGACCTGCTAGGTTCTCTCTCCCAGCTCTCTTTCCCTTTCCTCTGACTTTTTAATTTTGCTTGGGAGAAACCAAGGTAGGAGTGAGCAAATCTAAGGATGAGATTGGAGTCCCTCTCCTCTAATTTTTCCCTATGAATACAGAACTAGATGGGGCCTTGGAGAGTATATTTATTTTGGTTTGCTCCCTTATGTTACAGAGGAGGTAAGCAAATAGTTTGTCGAAAGCCCCATGATTGCAGAGCAAGAGCTAGGACTAGATCTGATGAAGGTAGACCCAGTTAACCAGAGGTCTGGCTGGAGAGCAATAGGTCCCACCCCAGTCTCACTGGCTTGTCTGACCTGGCTCCAGGGGAAGCCATCCCAGCTGCAGTCCCAGTTCCGCCTCACGTACACTATGATCCTCAACCTGCTACGGGTGGATGCCCTTAGAGTGGAGGACATGATGAAGAGGAGCTTCTCTGAGTTTCCATCCCGCAAGGACAGCAAGGTGAGGAGGTGGGGATGACCAGTATACAGAGCAGGAGGTTGGACGGAGCCAGGCTGGGAAGAGGTGGGCATCTGGAGGCCAGTGTGGTGAATGTGGGGCGTGTGACACACAGGCCTGGAGACTCCCCTTTCACAGCCTTTCTCCCACCTCTACTCAGGCCCATGAACAGGCTCTGGCTGAGCTGACCAAGAGGCTGGGGGCCTTGGAGGAGCCTGACATGACTGGCCAACTGGCCGACCTGCCTGAGTATTACAGCTGGGGGCAGGAATTGACAGAGACCCGGCACATGATCCAGGTGAGCAAGTGTGAGTGTTGGGGCTGGGCATGGTGGCTCACGCCTATAATCCTAGTGTTCCGGGAGGCCAAGGCGGGAGGATTTGCTCAAGGTCAGGAGTTTAAGACCAACCTGAGCAAGAGTGAGACCCCATCTCTACTAAACATAGAAAAACTAACTGGGTGTGGTGGCACATGCCTGTAGTTCCAGCTACTTGTCAGGCTGAGGCAGGAGGATCGCTTGAGCCCAGGAGTTTGAGGTTGCTGTGAGCTAGGCTGATGCCACGGCACTCTAGCCCAGGCAACAGAGCGAGACTCTGTCTCAAATAAAAAAAAAGTGTGAATGATGGGGCAAGGGAGGAAGAGCACATGTCACTCTGGGTGCTCCTAAAATTAGCCTGGGTGTCTGTCATTATGACACACCTCCTCCTATATCCCTGCTCTTCAGCGACGTATTGTAGAGTCTGTAAATGGGCTGAAATCTCTCTCTGCGGGAAGGGTGGTGGTGGTGAAGAATCAGGAGCATCACAGCGCTTTGGGTGTGATCCTGCAGGTGAGGGCGTTTGGACCCCAGAGGGTGGGAGAGAGCAAGCCCTCTCGCTGTCTACCCACTTGGCTAGGGGCAGGTTGCAGTCACCAGGGGGCTCCCACTTTTCCCTCTTGCACTCCTTTCACCCCTTCCCATCACCACCACCTCCCCGTCCCCTCTAGAGGTCTGCTATAATTCGCCTTGAGCTCTGCAAGGTCTTCCTGATCCCTGCCTTGGGGGGGGGGGTCTGGTCTCTCCCTTTAATGTCTACTCACATCCCCTTTCCTGGCCTCCCTGATGCCCCCAGGTCTCCTCAAACTCTACCAGCAGAGTATTCACAACCCTGGTCTTGTGTGATAAGCCCATGTCTCAGGACCCACAGGACGGGGGGCCAGCTACTCCAGATGTGCCCCACCCAGATGACCTCGTGGGATTCAAGCTGTTCCTGCCTGAAGGTGAGAGTGGGGCTGATGTCTGGCTTTTGACGGTGGTGTAAGCAGGATGCCTGGGTCCGTGGCAAGCTCTGACCTGCTCTCTCCTTTTCACAGGGCCTTGTGATCACACTGTGACCAAGCTCCAGCCAGGAGATGTGGCTGCCATCACCACCAAGGTGCTCCGGGTGAATGGAGAGAAGATCATGGAGGACTTCAGCAAGAGGCAGCAGCCGAAATTCAAGTCAGAGATGCTGGGAGGGGCATGTAGTATGGGGTAGTGGGTGGGGGTCTCCCCCAGCCTGAGGGAGACCGTGAAGGGGGGGAGGGTGTGTTTGAAGGATCTCCCGCAGCCTGAGGGGTACTTCTATGGGAGAGAAGCCTTTTATTTCAGAGATCAAGACCTGTTGCCTCTTCAGGAAGGATCCTCCCCTTGCAGCTGTGACCACTGCCGTCCAGGAACTGCTGCGCCTGGCTCAGGCCTACCCAGCAGGACCCCCTACCCTCGACCCTGTCAACGATCTGCAGCTCAAGGATGTGTCTGTCGTAGAGGGTGGGCTCCGGGCTCGGAAGCTGGAGGAGCTGATCCGAGGGGCTCAGTGTGTGCATAGCCCCCGTTTTCCTGCTCAGGTAGAGCCCTGGATGCCAGCTCCCAAGCTGGGAGGAAGGGCTTTTCCTCTCTGGTCTCTGTAGATTGCTGCCCCCATCTCAGCCCTTGTCCTCAGTGCACCCCTGCTGAGGCGCAAGAAGGCTGATGGGTGGCTCCCTGCAGTACCTGAAGCTGCGGGAGCGAATGGAGATACAGAAGGAGATGGAGCGGCTGCGCTTCCTACTGTCGGATCAGTCGCTGCTGCTGCTCCCCGAGTACCACCAGCGAGTAGAGGTAGGAGGAGCAGGAGTGGGGGTTGGGGGCCAGGGTAGAAGACAGCAGCCTCCCCAACACCCACCCATTCTCTGGCAGGTGCTCCAAACCCTGGGTTACGTGGATGAGGCGGGCACCGTGAAGCTGGCAGGGCGGGTGGCTTGTGCCATGAGCAGCCATGAGTTGCTTCTTACTGAGCTCATGTTTGACAATGCACTGAGCGCCCTGCGGCCTGAGGAGATCGCAGCCCTGCTCTCTGGGCTGGTCTGCCAGAGCCCTGGGGACCCTGGGGATCAGCTCCCAAGCACCCTCAAGCAGGTAGAGGACACCACCCTTCTCTCTCTGCCTGGGCTGTTGCATTCCCAACCCCCTCGCCCAGGTGACCCCTTCCAGCCCTGTTAAGTGCCCCAAGGGTGAGAATGTCTCTTCCTTGATCTGGGCCTCCCCTGTCTTAGAGCAAAAAGGCAGGCATTAACTTTTCCTTCCCCCTCTGCAGGGAATAGAACGTGTCCGGGCTGTGGCCAAGCGCATTGGTGAGGTCCAGGTGGCCTGTGGCCTGAACCAGACAGTGGAGGAATTTGTTGGGGAGCTGAATTTTGGGCTGGTGGAGGTTGTGTACGAGTGGGCCCGGGGCATGGTGAGTACCTAGGATTTGGAGTTTTTACAGACAGCTGTCTGGGGAGAGGCTGCCCAGGCAGAGCACGTCAGTCCTCACCCTGCTCTCTCCACAGCCCTTCTCTGAGTTGGCAGGGCTCTCAGGAACCCCTGAGGGCCTGGTGGTCCGCTGCATCCAGCGCCTGGCTGAGATGTGCCGCTCGCTGCGGGGGGCAGCCCGCCTGGTAGGAGAGCCAGTGCTGGGTGCCAAGATGGAGACAGCAGCTACCTTGCTACGGCGGGACATCGTCTTTGCAGCCAGCCTCTATACTCAGTGAACGAACCCTGTGTAAAAATGTGATAATAAAACAGCAGACCACCATGTGTGCTTGACGTATTGGATACAGATGACTCAGCTAAGAAGAGAACCACTTGCAAACATATCTTTATTGTTAAATATACCTTTATAATTATTTAGAGACTGGACCAGCCCCTCTAAAGCATCAGTACTTTGGGGAGGGAGTCTTAGGGGGCGACGGGAGGTCCTGGGTCATGGCTTCCACGTACCACATGGGCAGGAAGGCATAGGGCGCATCTTGATGTACAGACACAGTGACTGGGCCACCAGGCTCCCAGGAGAAGAGGTGGACGAGCCTGGGGGAGCAGATTGAGGCATGGATTGAGGGCTGGAGGCTGAGCTCCGGCAACCCAGAAGGCAGGGACAGAGCTGAACGCCTCACCTGGGGTCATCCTGGACAACTGTGCTCTCAGCAAAGCTAAGGAAGGCGTCACAGAAGTTCATGCACACAGAGGGATTCCAGCCATCACAGTCATTCTGGGCAGAGAAGGGAGAAGACTGGCAGTGAGGGTGGGGGTAAGGGAAGGGGAAGGCAGACTGCAGCACTGGATGCTGGACCCATGGTCTTGGTGCGTGAGGGATGCAGATGGGAGCTGAGACATCACCGTCTTACCCTGACATATTCAAACATCTCCATGGTAGGAAAGGTCTTGAGGGAACAGACAAAACCCTCTGGGTTACGGAAGCCAGCAACAACACTCGGGACCCCTGGGAGGAAGGACTGAGCCCACCATTTCAGAAGCTTGTGTCTGTGAAAAAAAAGCAAGGGGTCAATGGGACCCTCTCTCCCAAGTCCCTTTCTTAGCCAACGATTCTAGGCTCTTGTGCTGCCCACCCCTATCCTGAACCTGTAGAAGCTCTTCCATTGGCCAGGGCTGTGCATCTCCTTGGAGGTCTTGAGTTCCACATAGCAGGTGGGGGGCTGTGTAGATGGGGCCTGAGGGTCTGTGCAATCTACCTCCCCCGAGAAGAGCAGAGGATGGCTTCCTAGGCGGCTGCGTAGCACAGAGCAGAAGGCCATGTTGGTGTTAACCTCCCCAGAGGGGTCTGGAGAGCCTCCGGGTTTGTCTGCACAAGGAGAAAAGCAGCAGCAGGGGTGGGGGCTCTCAATCTCTGGGAAGAGAAGGGGGCTACTGAGTGGGAGCAACTCTCACCTGCACACATGTACTGCTCAAACTTGTAGCCCATGTACATAAGCTCCCGGAGGAGGGGTGGCCGTGCAAGCCTCTGAGCCCGAGCAGCCGGTGTCTCTACCTCACTCAGGTACAGTGTCCCCTGGAACCGGGAGGCTGCCAGTTGCCAGCCCTCCTGCCGCTCATATGGTGTTGTCAGCAATTTTGTCAGGTGCCCCCGCCATGTCACTACAGCCCCTGCCAGCCAGCCTGGACCCCTGAGAGGAAGGAAATTAGAGGCTAAAGATCTGACACAAGCATTAGTCAGATGCTCCCCCAAAGAACAGCCTAAGTTTATTCCAAGGACTGATTCTCACCCCAGCTTTGGTTCTTATTTTAGAGGGTAGGTGCAGGTCTCTCCAGAACTGCTGTGTGCTATGCTTCGCTCACCCCTCCAGCTGGCCGCGGTGTTCCAGGAGCCAACGTAGCAGGTGGTCCAGCCCTTCTCGGACCTCCTCGTCCCGGGGCTGGTATCGATCAGGGTATCCGTCTCTGAGGTCAAAGTTGGGGCCTGGACCGTTGGTGGGGGGTGGGCTATAGTAGCGCAGGGCTCGGGCATCTCCATGGTACTGGCGTTGCGCATCCAGGGAGAAGCGGCCCAGTTCTGAAGGGCGCCGGTAGAAAGGAAAGGGCCCGGAGTAGAGGGCGGGGTCTGTGGGCAGTGAGGGTGCTAGACGGGGCAGTTTGTTCCGAGATTCAGCCGCCTCGATCTTCCCAGCTCCTCTCTTGGTCCCTCTAGGCTCCATGAGGTCCTGAGAGGAGGGGGGGCAGTTTCCATTTTACAGAGGAAGTCTGGAGAAGTGCGACTCTGAGCCAGGACTAAGTGAGCCTCCGAACCGCCAGGCTCCAGCCTTGATACACGCAGGCCTCCAGGCCCTCAAACACAACCACGGCCAAGCGCTGGCTCATCCCACCTCTTTCCGTGCCCTACACTTCCTCCCCTACCCCATCCTCCAAATGCAGCGAGCTTAGCAAGGAAGTTTGGGCTCAGATCGAGGATCTGGTTACCTCAAATCCCCCGCGACCTCGACTTCCGCCTTCGCAGGGCTATGACGTCACGGCAGGCACTTCGGAGCCCAAGGGGCGGCAGAGGGGTTTTTCTGCTTTCGATGATGCAATCATTCAGCGACACTAGCGGGCAAACCCCCTCCCGGGGCGGGAGCAGTGCGATCTTCACACCTGGAGGTCAATCCCAACTAGGCCACCGCCGCGCGTCCGCACCGCCCACGTGTCCCCGTACGAGAGTGCCCTCGGAGGGAGCCAATTAGCAGCAGGCGTGGGGCCGCGACCGGGCGAGGCGGTGCCGGTATCCGCATTGGCACCGCCCCTCGTGGCAACTGAGAGGTGCCCAATGGACGCCTGTTTCGTCATCACGTCGTGGTACTTACACTGAGTCACATAGTCTGGCATACAGGGAGGGACGCCCGGCGGCGTCCGTACGTTACTGCCCTGCGCCGGAAGGCCATATTTTCACGTTCTCTTCCTTCATCTCCCACCCCTTCCCTGGTACCATAAAATCCCGGGGTATGAGCCGGAAGAGGCATCGCCTGGTCCCGGAGGCCTTTGGACTGAAGAGGCGGCGGGAGCGAGGGACTGAAGAATCGGAGCCTTTGGGGGGCGAGTCAGGTAACCATGGCAACCCGAGGCGGGGCTAAGAGCCCCAGTTGGGCGGGGCCTTGCCTGGGCTGGTCTCGCCTGTGGCTGGAACGGCGCGCCGGCAGCTGGCCTGCTCCCTGCCGCAGGCCCCTCCTCTCGGTGACCCGGTCTCTCTGCCCAGGGTCGGCGCGCGCGGCAGTCTCGGAGCTAGTGCAGCTGTTCCCGCGAGGCCTCTTTGAGGATGCGCTGCCTCCCATGGTGCTGAGGAGCCAGGTGTACAGCCTGGTGCCTGACCGGACGGTGGCAGACCGGCAGCTGGTGAGGGGCGTCAGTGCGACCGCTAGACATCCCGTCCCTGCTTGGCAGGCACTCCTGAAGTCTCCTGTCACTGAGTCACTCAGGCGGCGCGCCAGCCGTTCAGCAAGCGTTAGGGCTTTCTGGGGCGGGCACTGCACCAAGAGTCCCTCAAGCAGTAGAGGGCATGCCAGATCCTGGAGGTGGAGGAACAAAGCTTTTGGGGGAGGGGATGTTTGGAGCACACACCTCTGGGAATGCAGGCAGCCTTCAGATCACGGCAGGCCTTGTACGTCAAAGTTTCCGTCTTACACCGCAGGCGATGAGCTGGTAGAGAATGTGAAACAGGAGAGGGAATGGTGTATTGGAGGTAGTGGATGAGGCAGGGAGATCAATTAGGAGGATACTGCAGCTGAGAACTAGCGAAGGCCTAAATTAAGATAGTGTGGTAGGGAGCCAGGCATGAGTTGGGGGATGTGGAGAGTGAGGAAGAGGGAGGAGTCCAGGATAATTCTCAGCTTTTCTAGTCGACATGCTGGGTGGTTGGTGGAATTAGGAGCACATTGAGTTAATGGGGGATAGATGGTTTGTTTAATTTTGTACAAGTTGAGTTGATGGTACTTGTGGAACATCCAAAGGCAAATGTAATAGACAGTTGGATATGAGGGTTGGAGAGAATTCTGGGTCAATGATACAGAATTGCAAGTCACCAGGTGTGTTGGCTCATGCCTGTAATTCCAGCACTGTGGGAGGCTGAAGCAGGAGGATCATTTGAGGCCAGGAGTTTGAAAGCAGCCTGGGCAACATAGGGAGACCCCTGTCTCTACAAAAAATTTTAAGAATTAGCCAGGCATGGTGTCATATCTGTTGTCCTAGCTACTGGGAAGGCTGAGGTGGGAAGATCTTTTGAATACAAGAGTTCGAGGCTGCGGTGAGCTTGTAGCTGAATGATTGCATCATAGAAAACAGAAAAACCACCTTTGCATCTCTCTTGGGCTCTGATGTGCCTGCCATGACATCATAGCCCTGTGGAGGTAGAATTCAAGGTTGGGGGGCTTTGAGGTAACCAGATCCTTGGTCTGAGTGCTCACTTTCTTGCGCCACTCTGTACGACAGAGTGATATCCTGTCTCTGAAAAAAGAAAGAGAGAGAGAAAGAAAGAAAACAAGAAAGAAATGCAAGTCATAGGGGTGAGCAGCAAGTGGTTCAGTATGTGGATGTGGGTGAGATCCAGTAGGAAGAGTGAGGAGGGTGGCTTTTGTAGCTTTCTTTGCATGTTTTCTGTTTCCCTTCTGCTTTTGGGTTTCTTTTACTTCATTTTCCTCATTAATTTTCTTTTCTTTTCTTTTTTTTTGAGACAGAGTCTCACTCTGTTGCCTGGGCTAGAGTGCCGTGGTGTCAGCCTAGCTCACAGCAAACTCAAACTCCTGGGCTCAAGTGATCCTCCTGCCTTAGCCTCAGTCCCCGAGTAGCAGGGACTACAGGTGTGTGCCACCATGCCTGGCTAATTTTTAGTAGAGATTGGGTCTTGTGCTTGCTTAGGCTAGTCTTGAACTCCTGAGCTCAAGTGATCATCCTGCCTCGGTCTTCCAGAGTGCTAGGATTACAGGCGTGAGCCACCTCACCCAGTGTTAGCCTGGTGATATCTATTAACTTGTGAGCTCTTTAACCACTTGAGGACCAGCATCGACTGTAGTCCACAGCCACAGAACAACGCGCACAGCGACTTTAGCAGACAGCTGTGATATGAAGGCGCACAGCCGAGCGTCGACTTTAGCCAACAGCTGTGATATGACTTTTCTAATTTTTCATGTATCAAAATAAAATTGTGAACATTTAAAAATAATGTAATGAAAAAATATATGTATATGTTACCTATTCTGATTTACATTACAAGTAAAGCTGCCTGTAAAGTAAAACAAGCTTTCAGTGCTTTAAAGCTTTCCTCATCACACAAGAGCAAAATGAATTTGTCGCCAATGCACAGCACAAGCCATCGTGTGGACTGTGAGTGCCGGCTGTGGGCAAGGTTTCGAGGCCAGTGAGCGCTATACCAAAGTGGTTAATGCTTAAATAATTTTTAAATAATGTTTTATTCCGAATTTTAATTTTCAACAGATGGGTTGGTTCTTGCTGTGTTAGTATAAACAGAAGTCCTGGTTTATTTTCATTTGTTTTAAACATTTTATCTCATACTCCTCCCCACCTTCCTCCATCTCAAATCTAGAGTGTTGATTCCGTGAAGCCAGGACCTGTGTCTTAATCACTGTTTTATTTTAGTGCCTGGCATATGACTGGTCACAGAAAATTATATTGATTATTTATTACTGATAAAGCAGGTAGATGCAAGGGTGGGTAATTAGTTGGAAAAGACTACTTACTGGTGCACCTGATTCTCTTCCCACACAGTTTTTCCTTTACTAAGAAAAGAATGCGCCAATACTGGCAAACGAATTTTTCTTACCCCAAAGTCCCCAGAGTATAGCAGAGCATCTTACTCTGACACTCTTCTTTTCATTCCCATCTCTGTGGAGACAGAAGGAGCTTCAAGAGCAGAGGGAGATCAGAATTATCCAGCTGGGCTTTGACTCGGATGCCCACGGAATTATCTTCACTGAGGACTACAGGACCAGAGTAGGTGTGACTGTGTGCATCTCATGGGTGGCGGGGCAGGGCAGGGAAATTGGGGAATAGAACTAAAAACAAAGAAACAATTTCTCTACCCCATATCCCATGGAGAGGGCACAGGGCTCTGGTAAGTAGTAAGCTGATGGGGGGAAGAGGGGAAGAAGGAAGGGCATGAGGAGGGCAGGACTGGAGCAGGACGGAAGATAGGAAGAGGAATGCTGTCCTGGGGATGGAGCTTGGTGCTGGATGAGGGTGGCCCATGTCTCTCATCTCTGCTTCCAGGTCCTCAAGGCCTGTGATGGGCAACCGTATGCTGGGGCAGTGCAGAAGTTTCTGGATTTGGTGCTTCCAGCCTGTGGGGACCTTAGTTTCCAGCAGGACCAAATGATACAGACCTTTGGCTTCAGGGACTCAGAGATCACGTGAGACTTGTGGAACCAACAGAGTCAGGCATCTGGCACTTCCCTGCCTCCTTCAGTTCCATTTAGCCTTTTCCTTTTCATTCTGGTGGACCTGCCAAAAAAGTCTGACTGTTCTTTTTTAATAGAAATGACCTAAAGTTTGTGCTCCTCCCTGTAAGAGGGGAGGCCTGTCTTACCTGAGGCCTTAGACTAGAATTCAGGAGATCTGGGTGGCTTATCAAATGCACATAGGGGAGGAGGAATGGCAGGGGCAATATGTGTAACCCTAACAATATTTGTACCCCCATAATATGAAAAAATAAAAAATTTAAAAAATGCACATAGGGGCCTGTCAGGGACGATCAAAGCCCGATGGTGATCATACTGGGACTAAGAGGACAGAGACTGGTAGGAGATGGTGTGCCCCTAAACATTCACATTAAAACAAATGAAACAAACAGACCAAAGTACTGATCTCATGTGGGGAAACAGATACTTTCGGTGGGGTGGTGGGGCCAGGGTGAGGTATGCCTGGGCCGTGGCAGGAGCACAGAGCACACTGATGTCTCTCCTCAGTCCCACAACTGGGCGTGTGTCAGGGCATGAGAGGAGGGCTTCTGAGAGGAGAAGCTGTTTGAACGAGTAAGTAGTAACAGGAAAAGAGGTGTGGAGGGAGGGCAGTCCAGGTGGGGACTGGAACAAATGGGACACTGAGAGCTGCCCGAGGTTGGGGCTTTGTTATTCAGGCCCTCTTGTGTGGTTGCCCATGTTTCTGAAAACTTAGTGTGCAGACATTAACAGATGGGAGGAGAGGTGGTTCTCAGAGTCCAGGCCTCATCTCGCCTGGCTTCCCACTACCCTCAGGCATCTGGTGAATGCTGGAGTGTTCAACGTCCGAGATGCTGGGAGCTGGTGGCTAGCTGTGCCTGGAGCTGGGAGATTCATCAAGTACTTTGTTAAAGGTACATGTCTGCAGCTCAAGCCTGCAGCCCCTCAAGAGCACCTTCTGGTGGCTCCTCAGTTCTTTAGTCCTTATTCATGTTTCCCCTCTCCTGTGCCACCCTCTCCTCCAGGGCGCCAGGCCGTCCTCGGCATGGTCCGCAAGGCCAAGTACCGGGAGCTACTCCTATCTGAGCTCCTGGGCCGGCGGGCACCTGCTGCGGTGCGTCTTGGTCTTGCCTACCATGTGCACGACCTCATTGGGGCCCAGCTGGTGGACTGGTAAGTCCCCCACCTCTGGCAGGTGACAAAGCAATGACCCAAGGTTAGATTTCCTCCCAGCTCATGCTTGCTTCATAGTGCAGCCCTGTTCTGTCATTCTCTGGAACCCAGGAATACCCCTTGCTAAGTTTTGAATTCTCCTTACACCATGGGCTTAGGTGTCTGGCACCAACCCTGTCTTTCTCCTACACAGCATCTCCACCACTTCTGGAACCCTCCTCCGCCTGCCAGAGACGTGAGGATTCTGCTCATCATTGCACAGCTCCCTAGAGTGGGCTGAGAGGGGCCCTGGAGTGCTCCCCGATGGTGGCTGAGACACGATCACCTTGGGAAGGCTCGGGAGCCAGCATGAGTGTTGGGCTCTCACCCAACATCTGACCAAAGGGTCAGATGTGACTGCTGCTGTTTGCCTGGCTCTGAGCCAGTGGTGGGGTTTGGCTGATGCTCCTGGGCCCTTCTGTGGAAGAGGAGCCAGAAACGGTGCCAAGGCCGTGGCTGCTGCCTTCCATGTAGAAAGGGGCTGTTGTTCCTCTCTCTTGAGATAGGATGGTGGGATTTTTGGGAAGGCTGGTGAAGGAGGACAAGGTTCTTTTCCCTACATGTTGTGTTGAAATTGCCAAATAAAGTACTGCCTGTGCTATTTTCTGGATGTGCTTTGGTTACTGTGATGGTTGTTTGAGTGCCTTGTTTGAGGGTAAAGGTAAAGCCAAACCTAGGACTGAGCTTTGCCTCATTGTTCAGACAGGAAAAGGGTTAACTCTGACGTTCAGATCAGTTCTCCTTGCGGTGGTGAGACAGCACCTATCTCCAGAACCACAGAATATCATTTAGGGCCTACAAAAAGCAAAAGCCTTGTATAGTTCAGTTTGTGTTGGGGTGAAAACAAGAGACAAGTGTCTTAGAAGCTCATCCATGTTTTGTTAGGGACTTTAAATAGCCTATGTGTCTGGGCTGTGTCGGGCCCTTATACACCCATGTGTATAGGATCTCGCATGCATGCATGCACCCACAGGGATTCATCGGGAGGAGGTGTCCAGGCACTGGGATGAGGGGTTAACAGGGAAGGACAGGATTGATCTCTGGGCCAAGACTTTCTCAGATCCCCTCAGAGACCTAGGTGTCCGGGGTGCACCCCCAACACTGGGCCTGGGGCCAGTTGCATTTCTGGGCTGTCACGTGGTTTCCCGGCCATCCTGGGCCAGGGGAGGAGCAAGGTCCAGAGTCAACTCTGCCACAAGCCCTAGACTGACCAGAGGGAGCAGACGGATTGACGATCTGACCCATTTTGGATCCTGCAGCCATGAGGCTCCTCTGGGGGCTCATCTGGGCTTCTAGCTTCTTTGCTTTGTCTCTGCAGAAGCCCAGGTCCTGGAAGCACGATGCCGGCTGCTGGGGTTGGGGCAGGGCTGGCAGTGGGACCTGATTCAGGAGCGAGGGAGAGCCAGGGTGAAGGGGTCAGAGTGAAGTCTGACTGTCGGCCCTCACCGTTCTCCCCAGGTTGCTCCTGTTCTCTCCTTCTGTGGTTCATCTGGGGGTCCCTCTATCAGTGGGGGTGCAGCTCCAGGATGCCCCCCCAGGACAGGTAGTGAAAGGATCAGTGTTCCTGAGAAACCCATCCTATAGTAACGTCCCCTGCTCTCCGAAGGTGGGCTTCACCCTCAGCTCAGAAAAAGACTTCATACTTCTCAGTCTCCAGGTAACCGGAACCCATACCTACCTGCCGCTTTTGGGGGCTTCCTGTCTTGTTCCCTTCTGTCTTCTTGTAAGTGTCTTCGTCTTCCCACTGGCCTCCTCCCTTCCTCTCTTCCCACCCCAGTGGTCTCCTTCCATGTTTCTGTCTTGGTGTCTGTCCGGGTCTGTCTGCTCGCTCTCTGACCTACTCACTCTTTCCCTCCTGACAGATCCCCACGAAAGACACGAAGAGCTGTGGCCTCCATCACCTCCTCAGGGGCCCCAAGGTCCAGTTGGTGGCCCAGTCGCCATGGCTGAAAGACTTTCTGGGCAGAGATACAGATGTCCAGGGTGTCAACCTGCTCTTCTCCTCTCGCCGGGGGCACCTCTTTCTGCAGACTGACCAGCCCGTTTATAACCCTGGCCAGCGGGGTGGGTCTGAGCCCCAGGGCCTCTACCTTCAGCCCCTTCCCAGCCCACTAGGACATGTTGGGTGCCCCTTAAGTGAGGTAACCCTAAGGAAAGTGCCACACAGGAGGGTTGCTTAGCAAACATGTATCCTTCTCATCACTCCCTGGGCTTGGGCCCCCCTCCCGGGCCCACCCTCCCTTTGCACGTGGGCTCCCACTCACCTCTCTCATCCTCCGTTCCCAGTTAGGTACCGGGTCTTTACTCTGGATCAAAAGATGCGCCCGTGCACTGACACCATAACGATCACAGTGGAGGTGAGTCGCTGACCTCTGCCTTCCTGACCTTGGCCACTGATGTGACCTCCTGCCGTCACTTCTCCTCCCCTTGTAGAGCCCTAACGGTCTCCGCGTGCTGAAGAAGGAGGTACACGCTCCCTCCATCTTCCAAGATGACTTCGGGATCCCAGACATCTCAGAGTGAGCTCCCCGATCTGGGCGCTGCCCCCCAGCCACGCCACCCCAATTCCTGTTTCCCATTAGGCTCTCTGCCTATCCCGCACAGTCACGTCCCAAGATGCCCTAACCCTCCTGAGCCTCTGGCAATCCCCACAGTCCTCTCCCCAGGAAGCAGGCTGCTGCCTCTCTGTGGCCCTCCTGCACAGATGGGCTGCGTCCCTTCCTTGCCCGTCCTCAGGCCAGGGACCTGGACCATCTCAGCCCGATTCTCAGACAGCCTGGAATCCAACCGCAGCACCCAGTTTGAGGTGAAGAAATATGGTGAGAGCTGGTGACACAAGGGACAGGCAGCTGCTTTTCTGAAGGAAATTAGGGTGGAAGGAGAGAGGTGGGAAAAGGGCAGGGCCAGGGAGATATGGGTGTCATAGCCCTGGGTGGAAGGAGTCTCTGAACTAGAGGCTGACCTGTCCACCCCTTCGCTCTGGCTCAGTTCTTCCCAACTTTGAGGTGAAGATCAGCCCTGGAAAGCCCTACATCCTGACAGTGCCTGGCCATCTTGGTGACATGCAGTTAGACATCGAGGCCAGGTAACCAGCCCACCAACGCCCGGTCCTGCTCCCTGGGCTCCCTGTGCCCGCGAGTGGCTGTGCAGCCCCGCCTCCCTCCCCAGATCACTGTTTCCCCAGCCCTGGCCCAGCCTCTTCCCAGTTTCCCTGTGGCAACAGGTACATCTACGGGAAGCCAGTGCGGGGTGTGGTGTACGTGCGCTTTGGGCTCCTGGGTGAGGATGGCGCAAAGACTTTCCTTCGGGGGCTGGAGAATCAGACCAAGGTAGGAAGGAGGGTGAGGCAAAGCAGGCGAGGGAGCCGAGGGAGACCAGGTGGGAGACTCAGCCTCACCCACGTCCTGTTTTCTTCTCTGCCCCAGCTGGTGGATGGCCAGAGCCACATTTGCCTCTCCAAGGTGGAGTTCCAGGGTGCCCTGGAGAAGCTTAATATTAATATTGCTGACCTCCCGGGGCTGCGGCTCTATGTTGCGGCAGCCGTCATTGAGTCTCCAGGTGATTGACTTTCCCTTATTGTAACCCCAGACCCTGTCCCCGCCTCTAAGCTGACCCTCTGTTCTCCAGCACCAACACCACCCTGACATCTCCCGCCTCACCTCAGACTCAAAGCCAGGACAGAGCCCTGGTCTCTCCCGCTCTCTCTGTGTGATTCTGCCCCTCTCCCCTGCTCGGCTTGTTTCATCTTATTTCTGCTCACGCACTCATGAACGGGCATCTGCTCATGCAGCAGACTCTGTCACGCACCTGTGTGCCAGGTCCTGGGCTGGGCTTCAAGCCCGCCTGTGCCCTGAGGAGCTCACTGTCTTTCGGGAGGGAAACACTCCATTCTCACCCCCGCCCCACCCTCCTGCTCCTCTCTGCTGAGCTCTGCCTTCCACCTCTCTCTCCCTTTGTCTTGCAGGGGGGGAGATGGAGGAGGCAGAGCTCACATCCTGGCGGTTCGTGTCATCTCCTTTCTCCTTGGATCTTAGCAACACCAAGCGACACCTCGTACCTGGGGCCCCTTTCCTGCTGCAGGTTTCTTCTGGAGGCAGAGGCTGAGGAGGGGAGGGGTGTTGTGAGGAGGGCACAGGGTCTCACCGACCACTCTCTTTTACCGCCCCCCCCCCCACTAGGCCCTGGTCCGGGAGGTGTCTGGCTCCCCAGCCTCTGGCATTCCTGTCAAGGTTTCTGCCACGCTGTCTTCTGGTTCTGCTTCCAAACTCCAGGACTTTCAACAAAACACAGATGGGAGCGGCCGAGTCAGCGTCCCCATCGTTGTTCCCCAGACCGCCTCAGAGCTGCAGCTCTCGGTGGGGGAGGCGCGGGGAGGCTGGGTTCCTGAGGGTCCAGGCCCAGCCTGTGGGCAGGAGTGGGGTACCTAGGTCCTCGACACTGACCCCGGCTGCACCTGCCCCTCTGCCCTCTCCCTAGGTGTCTGCAGGCTCCCTGCACCCAGCCACAGCCTGGCTCACCGTGGGAGCCCCGCCGTCAGAAGGCTCTGGGTTTCTGTCTATTGAGCGGCCGGATCCTCGGCTCCCTCATGTTGGGGACACTCTGAACCTGAACATGCGAGCTGTGGGCGTCAGCGGGGCTACCTTCTCTCATTACTACTACATGGTGCGTGTCAGCCCGCGAGCCCAGCAGGGCAGCGGTGCAGGGAGGAGCCCTCTGGACGGGGCTGGGGCGCTTCAGGGCTGGGGCTGTAGCAGGAAGAGGAAACCACTCTTGTTCCTCCTCTTCTTGGCTCAGATTCTGTCCCGGGGTGAGATCGTGTCTGTGAGCCGAGAGCCCAGGAGGGCCCTGACCACGGTCTCTGTGTTTGTGGACCATCACCTGGCGCCCTCCTTCTACTTTGTGGCCTTCTACTACCATAGAGGCCTCCCAGTGGCTAACTCCTTGCGCGTGGATGTCCAGGCTGGGGCCTGCGAGGGCAAGGTAGCTGGGGTCAGGAGAGATGGCGGAGGCCAGGGTGATTGCTAAGAGGGCAGTGGATTTAGTTTGGGGTGCAGCAAGGATGCCGGGACTGAAAGGAGCTCTTCCACTCTGACTGCTCCCACCCCTGCCCTGCCAGCTGGAGCTGAGTGTGGACGGCGCCAAGGACTATCGTGTTGGGGAAAGTGCAAAGCTCCGCCTGCAGACCGACTCCCCAGCCCTGGTGGCACTGGGAGCAGTGGACACAGCTCTGTATGCTGTGGGCGGGAGGTCCCACAAGCCCCTGGACATGCGCAGGGTTTGTCCAGACCTCCCCAGCTCCTCCATGGCTCTTCCCCCACTCCCCTGCCCTGAGCCCTGGGCCCAGCCCCTGGGGCTCACTGGGACTTCCCACAGACTCCTCCCCCTTCCCTCAGGCCTGGGGCTGCTTCCTCCCCTGGCCTTGGTCTCTGTCTCCCACTATCTGCATCTCTTTCATATCTGTCCCTTCTTCCCTGCCCTCTGACCCACAGCCAAGTGGCTGGTCCTGCCCCCCGGCCACTCTTGGCTCCCAGCATCCCTGCTTTTTCTCACCAGGTCTTTGAAGTTATGAACAGTTATGACCTCAGCTGTGGTCCTGGGGGTGGGGACAGT